ATAGTGATGTAGGTATGTGGGGGCGTGTTAGAACGAGCCGTTTTAGGTAGGCGTGGACAAGTCAACTTTTATAAAGAATATCTCTTTGGATTTGAGACTTTAGTCTTTGCAACTTTACAGATCTTCTTTATGCACCAAGAGCTTGTAACACTCCAAAGAGAAAGGAAAAATTGAAATCGCATAATATGACCCCTTTAAAACAGCCATTATACGATGACTGTGCCATTATGAAACAATTTGGACAGCGTCGTTGTCTTTGCATGGACATTTACTAACCTGACTGGAAGGTGATTTCACTAAACATCATCCAGATGTCAGAAAAGTAGTACTGGCACTTAATAGCACTGGCCATGTGATTGTAGAGTGAGACAGTGACGAAGCGGGCACTGGGGTTGACATCATCCATCACGGGGCTGAATGATATGGGTGTAGCTTCCCAGTCCAACTCCGAGCGAAAGTAACACACCACCTTCTGAAAGGTCTTCACTCTTCGGGAGAACATGTTGTTGCAGTGCACCTGAATCAATTTGGATTCAAAGGGAGAGAGAATACAAAGCATTATGATGGGTGTAAATAAAGGAGAGTTGGGTCATATAATCCTTTAAGTCACCCAACAATTTGCAAACACTTAATCATGTAGTTCCAGCAATTAGACTGCACTTTTAACAACACACCCTATGAATTTTATATGACTGAAGAAAAGAGAATCATCAGTGTAGGACATTTCTACCTTCATGGTGGTGAAGTTGCGGGTGCGGTCAAACTCAAACATGATCTCAACATAACCGTTGAGAAAGCTCTCATTGGTCCAGCCGACATAGTCATAACCAGGCCATACATTGTAGACGTGACTGTGTGTGAAATCATCGAGGCCACACATGCCATCCGTCAGCTGTCCAAGTCCTTCTGTCATACTACAGGGGAAAATAAAGCCAGAATACATATTTTTGCATATATACAAAAGTTCAAAGATTTTTGGGTCAGTAAGATATTTCTTTTTAAGAAATTAATACTTTTATTCAGCAAGGATGCATTAATTGGTCAAATGTGACAATAAATGATTCACATTTGATCAATTTACAAACAAAAAATCTATTTTTAATAAATTCTGTTCTTTATATTCATCAAAGAATCTTGGGAAACAATGTATCACCGTTTCCACAAAAATATTAAGCAGCACAAATGTTTTCAAAATTGATGATAATAAGAATTATTTAAAAAAATAAATAAATAAAAAATCATACTCGCAATTCTTGAGCACCAAATCAGCACATCTGAATGATTTCGGAAGGATCATGTGATACTGAAAGCAAATGGCTGCTGAAAATACAGCTTTTTCATCACAGAAATAAATTACATTTTACAATATATTAAAGCAGAGAAAAGTTATTTTCAAATGAAATAATATTTCACAATTTACTGTTTTTACAGCATTTTTAATAAATAAATGCAGCCTTGGTGATCATAAAAATCCTATTTCAAAGACATTAAAAAATCTTACCGACCACAAACTTGTAAATGGTAGTGTATGTGTGCTTTATATACGTGTTGTTACTTTTTGTTGTATAAACACTATATATACACAACAATATATGTGTATATATATATATATATATATATATACACACACGCTCACATATACATATATATATATATATATATATAGTTTTTTTTTAATCAAGTCTCTCACATGTATTTAATACCCTGACTACTTAAATTTTGTGTTCTGTTTATACCATATCGCCACTAGATGGAGCCATTTAAACATTTATCTTTTTTCCCCAGCAATGACACAGGTTTCTCTTGTGATAGTTTAATGACTATGAATGTGTGGATTTTTACTTTGCGGTTTTCTGGCAGCTCTGTCAAGAAAGCAAACACTATATACACACGCTCACATATACATATATATATATATATATATATAGTTTTTTTTTAATCAAGTCTCTCACATGTATTTAATACCCTGACTACTTAAATTTTGTGTTGTGTGTTCACAAAACACACAACACAATTCATAGTTCACAAACTATGAATGTGTGGATTTTTACTTTGCGGTTTTCTGCCAGCTCTGTCAAGAAGGTAAACACGCTTTGCACTGTGTCATGGAAGGTATTGTTCAGGAAGCAATGAGTCAAGTTCGCCTGTGAACATTGTGAAACCACTGTGACTCTCTCTGGTCTTGGCGCCTGTCGTCATAGCAACAAGGCAATAACAGACTGTTAGCTTGTCTTCATTGTAACTGATCTGGGATCAATTTTTTCACGTGCCAGGTTGAAACCATTCTGATTCTGAATCAGTAGTCAGTGGAGATATATTGACATTTAGTCGTAGATTTAACATTGTACAACATATTTTGTAGATGTGAAATAAGACTTATTTTATGTCAAAGTTAAACTGCTACACACTCAGACTTAGATTGGTGTAACGTTATTGGTGTATCCTGTAACTTCCTCATTCATTCTCAAGCTTGTACTGACCTGTAACTCATGGCTCCATCATACACTGAATCATTGAGATAAATATGCTGTCCATTGAGAGTCATCTGCTGGCCAAGTGGAGAATTATATGAAACCAAGCCATCTAGAAACAGACACAGGAGAACACCATCAAATCTTCTTTTTTTTTTATTGTCAGGTGTCCTCAAATGGAAATGTTAGAGGAGGTTCTGACATAATGCTGATTCATCCCACTGAAGAACATTAAAGTTGTCATTACAAAATGATAAAAATCTCATCTGCATTTACAATTTCCATAACAGCATATAACATATCACTGCAATATTTTTCTAATGTCACAGAGAGAGAGAGTTTGCAAGGGTTGTGAAGACTGTGTCCTCCTCAGTATCATATAATTCAATGTAGTAAATACAATGAAAATGTTAGTTTACAATAATTTATATGCGAAGATAAAGATAATTGATTTACATTCTGATAATTGGTCACTAAAGGTCCAACTACTATGATCTGATCCGATATGTAAATATTATATCAGATAGTCAAAATGATCAGCGTTTATCAGCAGTCCATTTCAGATGCTAATAGGACAACAAATGTATCTCATGCAACGTTTAGATGAACAATTTATACCATGTGACAGATTTTTGAGCGGTGTCACAAAGACCTCATGAAATGCAAAATGTAAAATTTACAGTTGTTCTCTTCTGGGAAAATAGACAAAAAAACAAAAAAACCTAATGACTCATGTTGCACAACCCAAACTTCTGGTTTCTTTAGAAAATACATTAACATAGAACTGAAAATAGTGTCAAGTGATTTCATTGGCAGTGTCCTTAAAGGGATAGTTTACCCAAAAATGAACACCAAAGAAGACAAAACAAGAATGATTTGAAGCATTTAACTCCACTTTATTTAGTTCATTAGTTGTCAGACTTACCTAGCCACTCACAGCCGTACAGTTCCACACGCATACAAACGTTCATGGAGTGATCGATGACGGGCATGAAGCGGACGAAACGTGCAATGATGGGTGGCTCCAAATCCTTCAGCACAATGTCATAGGCATTCCTGTTTCCTTCAATCACCTTCACAACAGAAAAAAAACCTTGCATTTAGATTTTCAATACACATTGCAAAATGTATGTGGACACCTAAACAACTCACATGTGCTTGTTGAACTGTTAACATTTCATCAAAATCATGCGCATTAACAGGGAGTTGGTCCTCTCTAACAGTTGCACTTCTGGGAAAGCTTTGCTGGGATTTGCTCTCTTTCAGACACAAAAGGGTCACTGAGGTCAGTTGGTGTTCCAATTAATCCCAGAAATGTTTGATTTAGTAAATCACTTCTTTCTGGACTTCGCTGTGTACAGAGGCACTCATGCTGGAACAGGAAAGTTATGTCCCATGCTAAAAAGGTTTGTCTACAGAGATTGTATGTGTGTATGCTTGATTTTATGCACCTGTTAGTAATGGATGTAGGTGAAATAGTCAAACACAGGAATGGGTGTCCACATACTTTTGACCACGTAGCGCATGACTGCTGCATCACATTCACTACTGACATATTTTAGCTATATCACATTCAAATTTGACTGAGTTTTTTATATTTCGAGTTTTTATATTGTGTTCTTAAGACCAATTTGCAACCATTCAGCTTGCAAAACAAATTTGTATAAATAATATTATAAATATAATAATCATAAAAATGACTATTAATAAGACATTCATAACATGAATATAATAATATATAACGACTGTTTTCTATTTTAATATAACTTAAAATGTAATTTATTTAGTCTTCAGTGTCACATGATCCTTCAAAAATCATTCTAATATTCTGCTTTGGTGCACAAGAAAAATGTCAATGTTATTAAAAAAAGTGCCACTGATTAATATTTTTTGTGGATTTTTTTTTTTGATAAATAAAAAGTTCACAAGAACAGTATTTATTTGAAATATTAACAATCACAATCTTTTGTAACATTAAGGAATTACTGTCATGATCAACTGAATGCATCCTTGCTAAATAAAAGTATGAATTTTTATACATTTCTACTAATAATATAATATAATATAATATAATATATAATATAAATGTGTTTTTAATGTGCCAAAAAAACAAAACAACAATAATTAATTAATTAATTAAACTAAACATTTCAATTATTATTATTATTATAAAAATAATTACACGAGTCAATTAAAAAAAATACATTATTGTTAAACCAGTCAAAAAGGTAATCGGTTAGTCGGTGAATCTCTTTATTCTTCTTGTGTCTCCTTAGATAAAAAGAAGTAATTAATATTAATATATAATCAGTTGATGATGTGCATGCAGCAAGATGTTGGGTTTTCTATGATAGCACAGAGGCCAGTGTTGCAGCGTGTACCTCTTTGCCCTGCCTGTTGCGCCAGGAGATCCAGCGGCTGCCATCACGGCTGTATTTGATCTTGTATGTCTGGGCAAACTCATTCCCAATGCCCCCCGCGTGACGTCCCTGAGTGCCCACCAGAGTGATGAAGTGCAGAGAACGAAGATCTACCTGCAGGAACTCGTTCATATTCTCAGGTTCTCCTGCTATCTCAGGACACCACGCACCATCTCCTTCCTCACAGTCCAGCCTAAGACAAAGAAAATTCAGAAGAGAATAAAATTTTTTGTCTACTGATTTTTTCTTTTCTTTTCCAGAAACACATTTCATCAGCTGAACAATCGGAATGTTATTAAACATCAGTACAATCAATTTAACATACCGTACTTCTATCCCTCAGAGCCTCGTTTTCTGTCAAAAATTAAATATGGCACTACCCTGACTAAGGTCTATAAATTAGTCTAAAATAGTTCATTTTGGTGAAGTGGAATGTGTTAGGAACACTTAGAATCAGTGAAAATGCAGAAGTAATATATGGAAGAAGCATAATTACATCATTTTAATGAGGCCACCCATATTTCCCCAGATGTGGATTGATCCCACCACGTTAACCTGCACTACAGCTCATGGAATATACTGTGTGTGTGTGTGTGTGTGTGTGTGTGCTCATACCTGCCATATTTTGCTGCTGTGGAGTCAGACCACTGTGTGTGTGTGCTCATCCCTGCCATATTTTGCTGCTGTGGAGTCAGACCACTGACTGGAAGCTGAAATATCTTCATCTATGATCTGGCCTCTGGACATTCCTAACGGGGACCGACACACACCTGTAAAAAAAAAAAAAGTAGTGCTTTTATGACTTTTTTTGCATATATATAAATCTAAGCAACTTATAAACATGCAGGCAATATTTAATATTCACACACAATTTTCATATAGCATTTTCATTCCTACTTCCTACGTATTTCAGTGGCTTCCCCTTATTTGACTGAATAAACAATAGATATGATAGTTACTAAAAATGTAAACACTTTTAAGCACTTTTATGAATAACATTTCATATTACAGATTGATTCATAACTCCATGCGAGAAATACACAACACAGAAATGCAAAATGTTTGGTTGACGTATAAGATCATTTATATGAGATAAATATTGCTTTTTATATTTCATCATTATAAACTGTAAAAAGTATATAGTCATAAATATTTGTCTTTGTGTTATTTTAATGGAAAACAGCACATAAAACATGTCAACATGGTTTCTATTACTTTTTTCCACATTTTACTTCTTGAATTAAATATTTAGAATCTACAGTACTTGGCAACAGTGGCTGGTTGGTTGAAAAAAAAAAAGATTTTAAGTCAGAAGGCAGACAAGAATAAATTAAGTAGATTTTTTTAAACATGAAAAAATGGAGTGATTTATAGTTAGATTTGGCCTGTGAGAGGAAATAGGTTTTGAAGAACTCTTGGGTAAACAAGAATGTAGGGCTTTAGACCACTGTGCCACCAGCTGATGACTGGCACAATTTATCCATTTGATTGAACAGTATATTTTAGAATCAGTATTTCATATTTTGATTGCAATATCACATAATACTGCCAGAGCAAGTGAGGATATTTATATAAACTCTCTTAATCTCTTGTAATATCTCTTTTTCTTTGAGTGTCTGTGTGAAGATCCGGACATGTAAAAAAAAAAGTGTACAAGGACACTCCTATTCCAAGCGGCCCCTCCATTTCAACAAAATAGCCTTTGTGATCCTGCCAGCAATAGCATGGATAGTGGTGAAGGACTTTTTGTCTCTCTTTTCATTTTTTTTCTGTCTCTCCTCCAAATGTTTGCTTAAAAGTCAAGATGGGGGAAACCTCAGAGGCTTGGTTTTGGCAATGACAAGCTGATATAATCCAAAACGAGCTGAATCCCCCAACAAAAAGCTCTTCCAGATGTAACAGAACGGCATCCTCCTCCCCCATCACTCACTCTCTCTCTCTGGCTGTTTCCTTAACACACATATATACTCATGCTTAAATATAGACACATATTTATAAAAGCTAAGTCTGGGCGATATATATCGAATACTCACAATTAGTGCTGTCAAACGATTAATCGCGATTAATCGCATCCAAAATAAAAGTTTTTGTTTACATAATATATGTGTGTGTACTGTGTATATTTACTATGTATATATAAATACAAACACATGCATGTATATATTTAAGTAAATATGTTATGTGTATATATTAAATATATTTATATATAATATAAAATATAATAATATAAATGTATATACATTTAAATATTTTCAAAATATATACTATATGTGACTGTGTGTGTATTTATATACTCCTGCTACATTCAATAATAAACTCAAAGCAAGGTCACATCCTCACACAGAGCTCACATGCAGTTCAGTGAGGTTTGAGTGATGGACTCTATCCCATTACATTTCACCACTCCTTTAGCATGGTGTTCTTTCCTTTCTAACCGCCAGCCTGTGAAAAAGAAAGTCTAAACTGAAGATTTTTTAAGTGTCTGTGATGAGAAGTAATAATATTCAGCAGCAATTATGGCATACCATGATATATTGCTAAGGAAATGTTTCAAAGCACTGTAGTGTATTGATCCAAACTGTAAAGCACAGCACAGCATAGCAAAGAAAAAATCAACACGCAGATTGTAGTGAATATTGAGCTTGTTGAGACAATTATTTCCACCATATAATTTTAAATCTGTATTTTCAGAATGAAGTGCACAGGAACCCTTCATGAATGAATCTCATGAATGAATGAATGAATCTCATGAAACTTGTAATTTCTCAAGAACATGTTATGTATGTTAAAGTCCCCATGAAATCAAAATTGACGTTTTTTGGCTTTTTGTATGAATATGTTAGCCTTTAGGTTATCTATAAGCTAGTATGCTCCAAAAATGTGCGTATATACAATATATAAGCATTCAAAACGTATAGTCTCTCACTTCCGATATAGATCAACGATTTTGATGACATCACTCTGCACTTTAGCTTCTCATAAAACTTTCTGTCCAATCAAATGCTCTCTAGAATCTGAAGCGCCCCGCCCCCTACACTATAAACAGACACTGAAGTGCAAAAAAAATTGCATAAAAAATGATATAATTACTTAAAAAATAATAAATTAAGGACTGTGAAATTTGTTTTTTCAGTTGTGACTATGTCCTATTAAATCTGTATTTTGATATGAAGTGTACAGGAACCTTCTGAAAATTGAACCTAATGAAAAGTGTAATTTCTCAAGAACGTGTGTGGTAAAAAAAAAAAAAAGTTAATATTGTAAAATGTTGTAAAAAATGTTTTTTCTCGATGATTCCTCTTACTACTATTATGTCTTATGTATAAATGCCTATACACAATTTACTTAAATTATTTAAATATTATGCTGTTTTAACATTATGAGAATTTTTTTTTTACTTAATTGTCATGAAAATAATGTCACAAATCAAAAACGTAATGGTCCTAATAATGAATTTTCCTTTTCCGAAATGTAATTTCTTCTTTCTTTTGTTTTTGGGGTAAAAATGCTTGGCAGGATTCCTTCACCCACTTTTCTCAGATACTTTCAGACCGGAAAGTAACAATCCAGAACATTGAGGCAGCAACAGAACAGCTGAGTATAATTCTGTTATGTTTGCTTGTACCACAAGCCATCCAAAAACTTTTAAACAATTCAGACTCCCTTCACATAAACCACACAGAGGGATTTTTAACAAAGCATTTTACATATTCCATGTTTACTTTGAAACAGGCCAAACACTACTTTGTAGTTCGACAATTAAACAGTCTGGATTGACTGGTGTATCCTCCTCTCCGATACATTAAAGCACAATATGGCTATAAAAGAAACCATTAAAGAACATTATGCATTCCTTGTCATATTATATTGGCATGCTTCTGAACCTTAAACTGCACTACAAATACAAATGTAAAAAATGTTTTAAAACTCAATGCATTATCAGTTAAGCCTTTAATGTCAGCCTATACAGTCTTAATTTTTAAAATATGGCAGAGGAAACTGACACATGATCGGTGGAAGGAAGCAATGTCACCTTGGGTAATCTAATTCATCTGCTTCATAAAGAAACACAGCCCAATACAATATAGTACAAGAGCACAGTGTGGTTTTCATCCTGGGGGATCCCAGAAGAAACTGCCTCTAGCCATGGTGGTATTAGCTGCTTTCCAGACTTATGCTTTAGTCTCTACTCTACGGCTGCTCACCGTGAGCTGGCTTCTGGTTTCCTTGTAAAATATAACTGAACCTCACATTGACATCACACTTTCCTCCCCACAAACCACCCATGCTAGAGAGAGAAAGCTAAAGTTGAAAGACACAGATAAAAGAGAAGAAGCCATGAGAACCAGAATGGAATCTGGGCATCTTCCAGACCTTATTCAGACCTCAAACGTAGATTGATCACAACTACAAGGCTGCCAGTTTCAAAGCTAATAAAAAAAAAACAATGCAACTTGCAGCACTCTGACCTTTAGAAAAACTTAAATTCATGGACAATAAAATCGGAGATTGTGACCACATTGCCACAACAACTTATTTCCATAGTGATTTGTCTCATAAATTTTGAAACACAGTTTTTGAGCAAATTTATGTCACCAGTGTCCATACCACTGTAGCTGTTCAGTTAGTATAATATTGTAGACTAGTAGTTAAAGATTGGGCTCAAGTTCCTACAAAGTCTAAAATCCACCGTTATTGTGCTGTTGAGTAAGCTATTAAACCCTAGGCTGCAGTTGCTTCGGATAAAATGATCAGCTTAATGATTAAATTTAGTACATTTAGTTACAGTTTGAGTAATTTAATCTCATTTTTATACAGTGAAAAAATAGATATATATCTACCTGGATTTACTTGAGACTTGACAGCTCCCGATAGGTAAAGGAGGATAAGGAGCGGAAAGAGCATCTTCCAAAGCTGCTTCATCTCAGGCGGAGACGGGACGTTCATTCCTGGAGAATGAGACACATGGTTAAAAAAAACGTATGACTTCATTTCACCACAGACATCCAGGAACTGCTCTAACATGATTTCTCCTTAATAAAATTTAAAGAGGAATCAAACTGTACCCTAACAATCCTTGAGCAAGTTTCAGCCCAGGTTTAAATGGAGAGTTCACCTTCATGTCAGTATTTATTGTCAGTATTCATCATGTCAGTATGGCATTTTAAACTGTCAAAGATATTTTGAAAAATCTCAGTGTTAGTTTTTTTTTCACCCATACAATGGCAGCCAGTGGGGCACAGTGATGTTTTGTACTCCATTAACTTTCACTGTATGGAGGGAAACATTCTTCAAAATATCTTCTTTTGTGTTCCACACAAAGAAGAAAATAATTCAAGTTTGGAATGAAAAGAAAGCGCTTTTGCTCATGCTGCCTAAATAACATCTACCACCCACACCTTAAAAATGAGTGTCTGAAAAGCTAATAATCTCATATACATTTCATATTCTGCACATCTGTTAGCTTGAGAACTGTCTTCATCCTTTTAGTTTTTATTCTCCAATTATGAAAAGGCACTGAGCCATGACACAAATTTAATGGGAAAACAGGTTGTTGTTATTTTGAGGCGATGGTTTTAATTTGGTCAGTAAAGATGCAATAATTGCCTGCAGAGCATAATGGAATTTCCATATTCATTATACTGACGTGAGAACAGCAACAACTATGGGAAAACTTCATAAGGCATTGTGGCTAGGAGAGAAAAACTTTACAAAGAGTTCAAAGAGAAAATACATGCTCTCTGTGTTTACTTCAACTACTGACCATCAACAGAGCCTTTTATGAAAGTCTGCTTTGTACATACAATTTTGAGCAAACACAGACACACAATAAAACTAGCCAGCACTTTTTAACATTCATAGATAGAATTATGCAGATGTCTTAGTTTAAAGTATGCTATAAAAAGGTTAGAAAAAAATGGAACACTGCAAAAAGTTTAAATGTACTATTTTTTAATTGCAACTTCATTATTACAAATCCATTTAAATACCTGACATACAAGTTTCTATAATAATTATATTAAAGTATATTTTAGGTTACCCTAAATGCTTCCCAGTACATTCTACAGTAAATTTTAACCATATTTCATATGACCAAAGAAGTAATTATGAAATTACGGTAACACTTCATTTTAAGGACCAATTCTCTCTATTAACAGCTGCTTATTGGCATGCATATTACTAACATACTGGCCCTTTATTAGTACTTAGAAAGCTCATATTAATGCCTTATCCTGCATGACCATATTTTAGATCCCTTAATCCTACCCCATACCAACAACTTTCTTACTATCTATTGATATGCAGCAAATTAGCAGTTTATTGAGGGAAAACTCTTAATTAACAGTGAATATGTGTTCCCTATTCTAAAGTGTAACTGAAATTACATATAAAGATGTACTTAAGTCCTACTTAAGATGGCCAAAAATGCAAAGTGCATTTACTATAAATTTAATCTACAGTATAACACGTTCATTCAATTGGAATATAATGTCTGGAAACATTATATTCACAAAAAATTATGCTAAAGTGCAATTCCTTTTCACAGGTGACCTTCTAATAGTTCATATTTACATATTTTATATTCATAGACAATATGAAGTAGCTTAAATATAGCTCAAAATCCTTTTCAATTCAATTCAAGTTTATTTGTATAGCACTTTTCACAATACAAATAGTTGCAAAGCAGTTTCTACATTATATTTAGGAGTGACTTATCAGTGGTTAAGTTGATGTCCATATCATGCAGTTTGTTAAAGACATGTAATCAAACAGATGGTGAACACTATTAACAGCAATGATTATATGTTGTGATCAAACTTATAGCAAGGTTTGGTAGTTTTGTATGTTGTTTCAGGGCATCACCTGAGGTCTTGTCTTCTACCATTACTAGCTTCTTTCTGTAAGAGTAGCTTTCAGCTTAGTTTAGTTAATTCCTCTCTAGAGTAGTTAGTAATTTAGTTAACTACACAGTCTTGCCCAACACTATACAGTATATGTTTGCAATGTGTGAATATATCTTATATAGGCTGTATGTGGATTTTGTTCCACTGGCAAAGTTTTAAGAATGTGTCATTTTCATTTTAACTGGAACATCAGGAAAAGATACTGTTATGTAAAATTTAAAAAAAACACAGCAACAGTGAGAACTATTAAAAAGTATATTGATTTAACGGTAAAACACAAAAGAATGTGAATGCTTTTTTTTTTACACTTTTATGATTTCTTTCGTAAATCTCTCAGACAGCAACTCATCACCATATACAGTATGTGTGACATTCTTAGCATTAAACAAAAACCTGAATGATAGCAGTTGATTAAATGTCGCAAATATTTGAATGTAACCATCACTTCCTTGAATACCTTTTTTTTTTTGTGACCGCCAGAGGAAAACAAGAGCCCTTATGTATTTTTAATAATATTTTAATGAAATGCACAATTGCAATGCATTGGCCGAGCCTTCATGTCTGCATTTGTCTACTTGCATAGAGTATGTTTCTAGTATGTTTTCATAAAAATAAAAAAAATAAAATAAAAACTGACCAGGGGATGTGGAGTGTCTGACTGTGGGTCAGACGTTACCTCAGAGAGTGTTAGTGCCAATACGGATGACCAGTTCAGTCAAAATATCACTCCCACCTTTACTGACCATAATATGAAATAGTACTGGCTTACTTCATTATTATTACACAACATGTATGTTTTCAAGAACCAGTGAACAACAGAATTGCTTATGACACATAATTAAGAGTCTGTAATGTCAGGATATATTGTACAAAACTCAATATTACATGTAAATTTCATTCAGTAAACTATACTTAGTCTTATAAAGACAGATGCTGCAGACTAAAACTAAATTTGCTTTAATTATAATGGAGAAAATGATACGTACATGCTGGATTGTAAACAAGCGCAGGATTACTCACTGCTTTTGACTGTGCATGACTGTCCTGGCTCCTTGAAAATGTCTCAACACATGATTCATGATGAGTTATGTAACATAAAAAAATTAAAGGAATAATTGATTCAAAAATATCATCATATTGTTACGGGGCGAACGAGACATGAGACTTGCGGATCCATTTGCAAAGCTTTAATAGGAGACAGAGACGTGGTCATAAAACAGGCATGGGTCAGACAATGGCAAACAGGTATACTGAGGGCAAGACAGAAGAGTAATCCAAAACGGGCGCGGTCGATAAGCGGCTAACAATATCCAGAGGGCTTGACATGAGGGGGTTATCCAATAACACGAGCTAGAATCCAGGCGAGGTGCAAACACAGTCCGAAACAGCAGGCAAAGGGTTAACTCCAAAACAGGCTATAAACTTCA